GGCAACGCCGCAGTATAGGCCTACTAAGACAGCTGTTGCACACAATAGAGCGTTTGCGGAGTGGTTATCTTTACTCGTTTGTTGGGACTGGTATTACCACATTATAGGCTGGTTGGTGCGACGTTGCCATACATCAACGCCACGGCCATGTATTAGATGAGGCTATTAGGTGGGATTCACTTCAAATTTATGTAAATTGAATAAAAATGCTTATCCCAACAAATTTTCAAGAACCTCAAGAAACCCCAAAAAATATCTAATTTGTTTGCTAATTAATTTGAAAGATTTATGCTAAATAAAGTGAGGGTCAACTGAGAGTTCAAAGGGAAATTCAAATATGGCCGAAACGATCGTGAAAATTAAAGCTCCCTTTCCAAGCACTCCTCTCTAGTCTGCAGCGTGTAAGCTGCGGAGCTATGTACATCACAGATTATGTACATTGTACGAACGGATCAAAGAAGAAAAATGTAAAACAATATGACAGAAGAGAAACCGGAATTTACGCTTCCTTAGATCAAATACGCATCAAATGAGAATAAACTAAAAAATAAAATAACATCACTTCGTAAGGAAAGTGGCTATTTTAAAACCGCTGCTATCAAAGAAAAAATAATTGTTTCTCAAGCTTTAACAAAAAAGATTACCTGATTAAACCTTGATCTTAATTTACTTTCCATGGCTCTCAATTAGTTCATTTGTCCACTGTATGCTAGCGTTTGTTTGCAATATATTTCAATTATTGAAATCAGTTGATTGTATTATTTAAATCAATAGGCTTTACTGCTTAACAGTACAGAAATATGCATAAGCTAGTTTTTACTGCGTGTGTAGCCTGTAGTGCGGGTTTACTGCACAATGAACATAATATTCTGGTAATGAAATATACTATTCTTGTACCTAAACGTTTCCTGACGCTACTTTTCTTCTATGATCCTTCAAACTCTGGCTTTAGCAGTTAAGAAAATATCTCGATAAAAATGCATTTGTTTACCAGGCTATATTCATGTTAATGCCGAACGTTAGAATTCAGAAATTCATAAAGCAATAAATGTACTATTGTATTATTTTGTCATTCCCGAAACTTTTGTATTATTATTGTATGTGCTCTTGTATGATATACTTTTCATAATTAGATATTTTCTTCACTAAATTTAACTAATAATCTAGACACACGTGTTATCTGCTTTATTATGACAGTAATACATGTGTAAGGATTTCAATTTCTTGTTTTACTAAATTTAGAGTATAAGTTCTAAAGAATGCTTTAGCGTGTAAATTTTTTTTTCGGGCTACATATTAGCAGAATTATTAATTTACTCAATTATTTAAAACATCGTGTGTCTAGACAACTTTGTAAATATCTACACAAATTATTACATTTAAGATAGACAATGATTGTCCCAACAATCAATATTTGGAGTAGGTAAATTTATCAAAATTTCCACAAATATATTTTATAAATACTGATATGACACCAAACATAGTAAACTACATTGATTACAAAATTGGTCATAATCGTTATATTTATCTCCAACTACTAATTATTTAGGTGCAAAGGACCCCAACAAAACTACTGGGTACGAAAAGGCAAACTATATACTACTTTCACATTAAAAAATCTGAATTTTATTTGTATTTATGTTCTGTTCCAAAACTAAACCCCATTCACATTGTTTTCTTACAGTGTATAAAACATAGCATATTGCACTAAAAGAGCTACTTTGCACCGTTGAATTTGATGGGTGTAATTTACATCGATACAAATTTACATTGGATGGTTGACGCCCTTGAACGTTGGTCGAACTCAAGGTTTGGATTACAAAAGGCACATTAAACAAATCCCATCTAGTGCTTTGTATATCTAAGGTACATGAGAGCATGCGTCCAGGTCGATATTTCAGAGCATCAATTCTATATGTGCAGCAATAGAATCGGCTACGAATCTAATGAAAACCATCTAGTATTTATTACATTCAGTACTTCAGCGGTTCTTACGTTATACACTGAACGATTACTATAGTACACTATTGAATGAAGACATGTCCAGTAATTTCAATTTCTCGATTACTTTTGCTCTATCGGTCAGTAGCTTAGTGTACGTAAACATGCCTTCACTCAGTTGTATAATACAATCATTGGTTACTAGTTGTAAACATCAAAACGTTCATATAAATTAACACAAAGAGTATTAAAATCAATACTACTGCAATTCACACGTCCTCAAAAATCTCTTTTATGATTTATAGTTTTTGTACGAGTTTTATATTTTAGTCGATTCTGTACCAATAAAAAATTCGAGAGTGAAAAATTTTTCTATTCAAAATAAACCCCTTCAATACCTTATATGAAATATACTCCTTGTAAACATTATTTGTTAGTGTGACATTGTTATTGTAAATGTTATCGTAATTCATGCGATACAATAATTTATGGGAACAAAAATCCTAAAACTGTAATTCTTTTGTTAGTTCAATCTGTAAGAATTAATTGGCAAATTGAGTTTAGAGAAATCAATTGCATTTTATTATTTCCACAAATAAGTGATACCATCCTTCTCTTGTAACCAATAAGTAAGGATTGTGTTCCCAACAGCAGCCCGAGAACATAAAAAACACATACATCTTGCACACTTCACAAAACGCTTAAACACATAATCTGTACACACAATATTACAATGAGTGTACATTGAGGTTAACTCTCCCTATAGAACGATTCAAACGTACATACGATCACTAATTAATCTAAAAGCGACATTCTAAAGGCACGGTGGATTTAGCGTAAATTGGAGTTACTGTTGCGATTACCTCTATGTGCGAACCAAGGGGAAGAAGTTTACACGAATTGCTTGGTTATCCATCAAAAAACAACCATTTTTGCAGAGTGATATTTAGTATATACATAGTATATATAGTATATATATATAGTTTATATATAATATATATAGTATATATATATAGTATATATGTATAGTTATATAGCATCCATCGTTCAAAATCTTATTGTTTTTGTCTAGCGTCCTGGCATAGTTTTGATCGATTGAGGAAGATTCTGAGCCATCTGGTCGAAAACAGTCCAATAGCAGGAAGCTATCAAACAGTCAGCCTTGGATTGAAGTCCACCTCTTTCTAGGATACAAAAATTTTTTCATAAGTGAATTTATTTGTATCATGCATAGATCTAAGTAAAATGTGTTCAAATATTGAAACAGCAAAAATATTATTATAATGATATTAATTTATGATACTGCTATATTTTCCTTGTGGATTTTGATGGAAAGTATATATGTTCACCCCTTAGTAATGTACCAGTTATTTTAGTAATGTAATTTTTAATATGGAATAATATATGCGCTGAGGATAGCATTTCAAATGAATATGGTTTGTAGTATTAGTTCTTATTTTTGATGCTATAAGATCAAATTGAAAGCGGATGAACTCAGCTAGTATCGTGTATACTTCTTCCGATTTCTAAACAGAAAATCTTTCTAAAATGAAACACTCATATATCATATACCACACATTTAATAATTGGAAAAAGAATTGATCTAACGTTCTACTCTCTTTGCGTACATAAACACTTTTAGTATTTTATTTCACTATACTACTGTAATTGAACCAGAAATATAGTTTTTACAAGTGGTCACATTACTAAGCTAACTGATTCTGCAGTTAATATTTCAAGTTATATTCTTTTAGTCTACCAATAAAAGAGAAAGTTAAGCTATTTTGGTACAGAATTGAGTTATAAAATAATCTTATCTAAACTAATATAATCTATAATTAACTGCAGTCATAACAAACAAGACAATAAAACTATTTAACACTACTCCCTCATCATTCAATTTTAATAAACTCTCTAGGAGATTTACTTTGGACGAGTTCTAGGAACATGCACTGTTTTAATCGACCGTCACAGTGAACTTGTGTCTCTCTTTGGATCACTGGTGAAGTAAATCCACATACACAAAGAGGTAACTTTCCACCCGTTTTTTATGATGTAAGATAAAAATTCCTGGATGCAAGAAATAAATACAGAAAATGGCACCAGAAAAAGATCACTGAAAATCAAAAACTTTCTACTTAAATTATTGCAGGCCAGCTTACTGGCCGATGGATAAAAAAAACCGAAGCTGTTGTCAAATTGACACTTAATCTGGAATTAATGTATGAAAAATCAACAGTAGCTGACGGTTAGGAACTGACTTCGATTCTCCAAAACCGCACACATGCTGTTTTGTACTGTTTAATCAGTGCATGTTCCTAAAACACGATGATTGGCTACGACTTCGTGCCTCATTGGTAAAATGTGTCAAATATGTTCTGAATCGTCCTAAAGGGGCTCAATGCTAGATAAAGCTTGCACCACTGATCTAATATTTACACCCTATCCGTGGATCTTTCGACCCGATATTCAGTACTATGCGAAATGTGACTCGATATTCAGTTTACTGTACAAAATGCGACTCATTCAGTTTACTATACAATATGTGACTTGTAATTCAGTTAACTATACACATTGTGACTTGATATTAACTTTTACGATACAAAATGTTGTGTCGTAATAGCACCAGGTTATTGCAAAGTCATTTAGTGAAACTTGAAAAATACGACGCAGGCTACACAGTGTGAGTGTGTAATGGATGTTAAAGTGAAAATCTCCCACCTGCGAACGTCGCCGCTATTGTAAACAGCTGATTAACACATTCACTGCTAATGATATGTAATACTTTTATAAATGGCTAAAAAACATAAACATTAACATGATCATGTTAATTGAGTGACAATATATCTTTAATTAAATAAATTTTATAATATAAATTGTGGATTAAAATATATTATGTAATTATATACATCATGTATTATATATCTGCTAATATACTTATGACGCACAAGTGCGTCATTAGCAGTGAACGTGTTAATAACCCGCTTTGAGTTAAAATAATGGTCCGTGTCAGCTGAGAGTGAGTGCAAATAATTAATAGTGTATTGCTTCGGTACCTGCTACGTTGAGTCGGTTATTGATGTTCTCAATGTTCATACGTGCGAATGCCTAACTTTGCATTGTTGGAAATACTGAGCTGCAATATAAAGGATGCAAATTTGATATTATGATGTTTTTGTGGATTATATTTAATAAAAGAAATTTAAATACTCCAATTGTTGTTAAATGCACAAACATCCCTACTTCTCAAAACTCATAACTAAAATTTATTTAAAGATATACTTTGTAAAATATTCATAATAGACATATTTTTTAAAGGTTAGTACATGTAACTTAGTAAAAGAGCAGTATTTATGTCTTAACTTATTAGGTAACAGAACTTGAATGTCTGATCGGGGCAAAATAATGGTTTTAGGTAGTTATTGTAACTTATACAGTAGAATATCGATAGAAAGTTCTAAAGTGGAGGATGTGGACAACAAAAATACAACCTCTAGTATTTGTATACCTTTAACTCTTTGATGCAACTTTTGAGTAGCCCATTTGAGAAATATAAACGATCAAATACAATATTCGCTCAACTATGGTTTTGTTGTGGGACCTTCAACAGCATCACTCTATTTGTTTGATGACGTTTTGAAAGTCCTACTACCAAGGTATTTTCTGGCTTTAGCCTCAACCCCTACAAAACGTGTAGGTTTTCGCAGCTCTTGCTCTTCGAGTCCCTCGCCCACACTTTGCTGAGCAACCCCTTGACCTTGAGCGAGGCTGAGGTTCGTTGACCCCGGTACTTCCTGAACCCAGGGCCGCCGCTCATGGGGGAGCGACTCCTTCGCCTCGCGTAGTGAGTCTCCGGAGGGTTGTCCAGCTTGAGACGGATCTGTGTTAGAATCCCGACCAGGAGTTCGTCGACGTTGTGGTTGATGCCGACCGAGGTCTCGATAAACTTACAGTCGTAAGCTGTCGCCATCAGCTTCCCATCTGGAAAATTAACTGATGCAATGGTCTAGTTATCAGGAAAAAAGGGTTTTTATGATAAACCACCTCTTAAGTTCTAGCTCTTTAAAAACAGAATTTTCATTCCTTCCAGGTACCTAAAACGTTTAAGTAGTTTGTAGTTTGCCATTCAATCAAACTACGACGCATGTAACAGGTGATTTCCGTTTTCAAATCCTGGAACATTTCTTCAGGAAATACCCCATTTGGGATCAATTTTATCACAAATAAATTTAGAATGACACATAATTTATCACACATTTTCAATGAGCAATTAGATTATGAAAAGTAGCATTTAATACTCTTTCAAAGCAATTTGTACACATACTAATAAAACGGCATGTAGCCTTGGTAGCAGAATCTGCTTACGAAATTGAAAATAAGTTAAATTTTTCTTTAAAATTATTTATTGATTAGGGAATATTTTTATCATTCCGAGATTGGTCACCAACCTATATAAATAGATCAATGATAATAATTAGTATTCAAGTGGACTAAATAATTCACATTATTTACACGACTCGAAATAATACTGAAGCATCGTCTGAATCCGATGTGTAAAGAGCATGTCGTAAGAGGGAAGAGAGGGATCGTTAATCATGTAATTAGTAGAGGAGTTGAGACTTTACTTATGAGACTTACTCGGGGAAACATTCTGCTACAGAGCCTCAAGCTCCAGTGAACATATCACACTTGTTACAAACCAGTTTCATTAAGTGCGAATTCAATTTAATTAGGCTATAGCATCTACATATGTCCGGAGTATTTTTCTGTAAATACCAAAGTTAAACCAAATATTTGTTATCAGCTTGAAAGAAAAGGAAAACTCCATATAAGAGTATAGTAATACTTTAATAAAGGTACCCTGCACTTTCGATAAAAGTTAATGATTATCATATGGCCTTTTTGGGGAGGAAGATTTCAAATTTCGAGACAGTTCTCCTTGCCCAAAAGCCTTGTGTTGTGAAGTTTATGTATTAATATGAAGTTTCTAGTTTCCAAAACCCAAGGCCACACAATTATCAAAACTTAAAGTCATACATAGATGATTGTCGAGATTTGATCCCGGGCTGCTAGAGAAAAACCCAGCAATATTGAACCATCTTGCCAGCTCGTTTACTAACCAGTTTACCAAATAAAGCATCTATTACAATTCGTATTCTTAAAAAAGGGGCAAACTTCTTACAAGGTTCTGGAAAACTAATTCGTTCTTTAAAACCTCAGAATTTAGCCTAAACAAGTCATGTTCATGTGCAAAAGCCATGCTTATACCAACCAAACGTATTGGTTAAATTGCAGGCCTCATATGGTTGATGAATGATAGGTACGATAATTTCAGGTTTAGTAAGTAAATTTCATTTTTACGCCTTGATAGTCTTCTAGGTCTGATAAGTCAACTGATCAACTCAACTGTTTGTACATAAGGTTCAGTAAGTTTCTACAGTGAAACTTAATACATGTACTGAACTTAGAATTTAACAATATTCTTTATAATTCACCTTGCGTGGAGACGACTCGGCTTCGTACAAGATCCGTCTTGTTGGCGACCAAAATCACAGCCTTGGTCCTGATGGCGTCGTTCTTCCACAGGGTCTGCAGCATCTGTTCTGCCTGTTGGAAGCTGCCTCGGTCAGCTGTGGAGTAGACGACGCAGTAGGCGTGAGGTGAGGTGTAGTTGGACAGGCAGTCCTCGGGCTGAAACAACAAAAGAAAGCTTGAAACTGGGCAGCGGAATAGTTAACTGGAAGATAGCTGAACTCTAGATAACGTCCAAATGGTTATGTTAGTTAATGTTGTTTGGATTGTAGTTTGACCCAAAGATGAATTGCTACAACGCACCCGAAAAATCGGTTATTTTTTTATCAGTTAATTGACTTGGTCATTAAAAGTTTACTTTGACCGTAGAAGCCTACTTTTAAGTTTATGAACTCGAAATATGTTATTGGATTGGGTTTTAGATACTGTACTCCTCATATTACATACCATGTACTTGGGCTAACAATTAATTGGTTGTATTTAATGAGAGACGTGTATCATTATATGGAAGAAAATAATTCTTGACAACCTTAAGGAAAGAAGGATATTTTTTGCGATTACTATTTGTTTAGTGAAATTGTTACGTCAACTTGGAGTGACATAGTTCGTAGCGAAAATGTGTCTTTTATCTGGTCCGAAAATTGTATCCTATGAATACGCTGCTGGAATATATATATAAAGCATAAAATTTATTACATTTTTGTGTACGTTTTATGTACAAGTGTATTCCACCCTCTATCAAATATGTACCAAGAAAAAGTGTAGCTAAATATAAGCTCAATGTGTTTTGCGATACACATACAGAGAGTCGAACATGATCAATACAAATTTACAAGCAAATTAAGTCTCATTACCTGAAAATCGTAATAAAGAACTTTTACATAAAAATGTTGTAATTCGTATTACAGTATACCCCAGGACCTTTGGGAAACATGTCTCTTATAGAAATGTCACCTCAATTCAACTTGTGGCTGTTCTTCTCTTTCAAGTTTGGTCACGTCCGCGTTGCTCCCTAACTGCGAGGGACGACGAGGTAAGTTAGGAAGGGGTGATAGGAAGGGGAGAGGAACACATCTGTATGAAGAATTTTACAGATAAAATTAAATTTGCTGTAACAAACTAAGGTAAAAGTAACACACGATTGTGACATTTTTAACGAAAAAAGAATGTGTTTTTGATATTTTGTTAGAAATGAGTTTATAACACTTTATTAAGTTATATACAGTATATAATATTTTCATTTATTTAGTGCGATTTTTCAACATTGGGTATTTTTGTGTATCGTTGTAAGGGAACACAACATAATATGCTAGTTAATCTTTTGTTGGATACCTTCATTAATCGATAGGCCAATGACTAGAGTCCAGAATGAATCCCGCATGTACCAGATAACAACAATTTTCTTTTTAATCCAAGCAAGATTCGTACCATGATAATAGTCAAAACTTCACTAAAAAGATTATTTATTGTGTACAAGTCTCTTTTGTCGATGGATTTATCATTGAGATAAACCGAAATCTTAGTAAATGCTTGACTGTAACGAAACCTTTTAATTGATAAATTGTCACATTAACAAAATTACAAATTGACAATATCAAAGACGATTGGATGTATATTTGTTGATTCGTGGGTTAGAGTTATAGCCAACTATTAGTTTTTCTACAAATTCGTGATTTCCTGCGTGACATTATAATCTGTGCGTTGATTAATTTAGAATGATGCTGGTTTAAATCTCATAATAAATTTCCAGTTTTATCAAGCTAAGCCATACCGTATTCTCCTCCAACAGTAAAGTATTACAGTTCCATTTTGTAGAGGAAATTGGGTCCTTCTCCGGGGGGTCTTTGTTCTTAAGAACGACATTCATGCAAAACGCAGGTGTCTTATAGAATATCTGCTGGCGACATTTCGGATATGAAAGTTTGTTTTAACAAACACCCTTGAAACCAGCAATGTTTAAACTGTTTTCAAAATGTAATTTTATATCTTATAAATTTTAAAGTAGGTTTAAAATTTTCTATTTTAAAATAAGTAACGAAGGTATAAATAAAAGGTTATTTTGCTGAAGGGTAGATTGATGTTGTTATGGTGTAGTTGGTTACTATAACTTCGTTTTTATTTTTAAAATCGGAAAGGTTGGTTTTAAGATTACACAATTTGTATTTTAGCATTGCAATTAATTATTGTAAACTTGTTTTCTAAACAAACAAGACAAGGAATAGAAAACGATATAAAAATATTATTGCTAATAAAATATTACAATTTTATAGAATATTTTTTATTTATTTTATTTGTCTGTTTGGTTTTATACACTTTTATTCATAAAAAAATTAAGACTTATCTGAAAATAAAAATTTAAAAACCTATGAGAAGTTACGTTTGTAATACAACTACACATGGAATAATACATAATCAGCAATGTACAAATATAGCGACTATCCTACTACATAGAAAAACAATTTAACGACTAAACTTCCCTTCTAAATAGAAACAATAATATAAAAATGCTAAAATACTCCTTCCTAAAACTCGTACAATATTACTCAGCTAGTCCGATATCTGATCCAACACGCTAAATCACTCTGCATTGTCAATAGGATTATTACATTGAAACACTGTATAATTCGGCCGTTAAACTAATAATAACCCTTTAAACTCCCTTATTTTATTGTCATTTTCCTGTCATTTTGCGTATTCTCAGCAAAGTCAAGTAACAACTACCATTTTCAATCACCTAAGCAGATGTTATTTGCGTTACTTGTTTGCATTGACTGGTTAGTCGAGTAGTTAGTGTTAGTCTCATCTGATGCTCGTTTGTTTTTTAATTCCAAGATGATAAATTCCTGGACCCAAACACTATTTGTCGTTAAGCTACCAATTAATGATGCTATAAAGCAAAAGGTTATAATTAAAACCCAGGGATCGAACAATTTATTAAATCTTAACAAATGCAAAATTCGTAGGGAAACAAATAAAAATAAATAAAGAATAAATAAAAGTATTTTTTATATGGTGTTCTGTAATCTGGCGTTTTTGGTAACATGGCATTGCCCCAACCATTAATTAACTATACATTCCTTAAAAAAATAATCAACGGTGCTACCTACACCCGTAGTTGGCGAACGTCAACGGTATAATTTATGAATGACACAAAATCAACAACCCAAGAAACCCATATGATTGTGTTTAAGAATGCAACTCACCGACATCTCAGAGGAAGGGTGATCTATAAAGGTGAGCTCAGATTCTTCTCCGTCTAACAGAACTGAAACTGACTTCTCTCCGCACTCGTCATCTGAAAACAACAACAACATACATTAATTAATTTTAAAATACATAATTTATTTAACTTAAACTTATTCATTGATTCCGTCGAGTCTATTTCAAGACCGGTATTATAAATCCTAGAACTTGAGTCGTTAAAAATACTATATATAAACATGATATGTATTATTAACACTAATGCAAAACCACAAAATTCTTCTTGTATTTAAAGCTTTTTTATATGCCCATTTTCTCAAAAACTAGAGTTCACTTCTGTGTAAAAATATGTTACGTTTATTTACCAATTTATTTGTTTAACTGTAGGAAAAATATAATGTGCAACTCGAGTGCAAAGTGCAATTGCCTCACTAGTTGCACAAATAACTATTGTCTCGAAATATGAATGTTTAAGGAATATACTTCAGTTTTAATTTAACGTGCAGATTTGTTCTGGTAACCTACTATTCTTGATTTACAACTCCTGATTTTATTAAGAAAAAATATTGTAGTTTCACAACATTCCAACAAATAATAGATAATTTATTATCATACTTCAGTAGGCCCATACTCTGGATATCTACTAAACAATAAACACATTCAATTTAATTGAATTTAGAAGTACCTAACATTATTTATGGATATAACATGTATGTCAGGTGTTTATGAGGGGGTGCTTGTAGTGTGTTCACCTTCGACAGACGAACCTATAGATGTGTCGTAGGCGTGCAGGTACTCTGACGTCATGAATTGGCTGATGAGTGACGACTTGCCGACCCCTGCGGACCCTAGCATCACGACACGGAAGGGTGCTGTGATACCGGGACAGGAGGCGCAGGAACTCTCTCTGGACGAGGCGAGGGAGGTTGTAGCAGAGGTGCGGGCGGACCCGGGGTACGAGCCTCCTACCACGGCACCTCCTGTCGTCAGGTGCTCCGTGCTGGAACAAAAACAATGTTTTCAATGCCACGCATTCTCATTGTAGAGCGTAACTCTAGTCCGAAACAGTTTTTAACATCACTACAGGTTAGGCTTGGAAGGTAGTGGCAGAATTAATTAGATCAAATACATTGGTGATTGATGGGATTTGAACCCAGGACCTCGGGGATTAAAGTCCTGCGTTCTTCCCCTAGACCAGCTGCCCCTCCCGAAAAAAAGCAAATTGAGTGTTGGAATATTTTTACTTTTTGATCAGAATTTGGTGTGATGATGCTACTAAACAAATATAAAAAAATAGTCTTCCAACCTTTTACATATCTACACTTATACTTTTAATTGACGAGACTATACAATACAAACGTACAGGAAAAGAACGTGCAATTAATTTTGTTCTAAAAAAAGTAGATAGAAACAGATCATGAAGTTGCGGTTCATGGGTTCACCAGATCATGATATGGTTAAAAGATGAATAGGGAAGGATTTTAGATTTATGTTCAGTATTAATGAAGAAGTATTACGTTGTTGGTCTGAGAGCATAGGGTGGATTGATGCTTGTTGTTGTAATGTTCTAAGAGAATTGAACTAATTATTAAATTCAATGTTACTAGCACAGGTTACTAGCTCCGAATAAAGCATGAACGTAAATGGAAGATCATCGTGATGTTTAAGGTGTGATAGTGTTTATAACAACGATATGGTTAGCTTTTATGTGAGAGAGACCTAATTCATTACCTCATGTTTATGGTATGCTCCCAGCTCTTTTTTTTTTTTTGAAAAGCTGAAGATATTTTAAAATATAATTTAAAAAGTTGTTAATAATGTACAGTATTATATTACATGAGTATCATACCTCACAGATGCATTTTAGAACGCGAGGAAGGTATCTAGTACATACAATTGCTACCATTATAGTTGGACAGTTATGCAATTTTTACAGAGAACTCCTTTTTATGAACTCAAATCTCCATATGATCTAAGTAAGATACGCAACATTCATTCACTCCAAATAATATGCTACGTAGAAAATATTACTACTTTCATTCTAAACGTATGAACTGATTTCCCGTAAACTATTCCCATGATTTTTAATCTAGAGAACGAGACGTTAACTGTCCAGCAAATAATTTGTAACAGAAATTATTACAAATGTCTAACAATATTCCGGTAACAATTTTGACATTTTATGTGACCCAACTTAATTGTCAAATTAAACAAATTAATTGTCCTAATAGGTTTGTAAAATTAGGAAAGAGAAGCTAGCAAGGTTGATGTAATCTTTACTGACAAAGTTTCAGATGACACAGTGGTTTGTTTACAAGGTTTTGTTTTGATTCCCAAACTTTACTCGGCTGACGGTTATTTGAGCATAATTATAGTGAAACGGCAGATTGGCGGCAGTGACACTAAGTTTCCTTTCATAAAAACCCAATATTGAATGTCACCTACACAAATGCAATGAAATTCGCGTATGTATTCATCACTCACTGTATTTATCAGCGGTTTAACATACCTAATTAGAAAACAGAGAACAAAATATTAACTACTATAACATTTGGAGAGTGATTTTGCCGTGTTACTGGTATAGGCATACATAGTATATTAGGTGCGTGTGTCAGTCTGGTTTACATAAAATTGGCACAAATTGCATGTGAAGATAATTGCTTGAAAGTCTTAAATATTCGACGAAATCCCAACATTTGTTTGAATTGTAAGTAACCTGTCGTGCGTAAATATTTACAACAGTTTAGGTTTGACGATTGAATTTCGTTCATTTTTCAACCACAGCCTGGGTCATTTATTTTTAGAGTAGGCTTAATTATCGACAATGGATCAGAGAACAGTGATTTACACTGCATTCGTTTCAAACTAAACCTCAGGCGGTGTATTTCAGAGTAGGCTTTATTTAGTATTGATAAGCGACCAGGGATTAAGGGAATACAATGATTCACACATCAATGGTTCGCAAACCCAACATAGTTGTATTTTGAAATAGGGTTCTTTGAAAACAGTTTAGATAACACCATTGTTTTATACCATAGGACTAAGGAATTTTGACCCAAAATCAAATGTTAATTTTTTGAGAGGGTATTGATATTAACAACGGTCCAGAAAAAAAATTAATTGCACTTTATTGGTTCCTAAACTTGGAGCGGTTGACATATTTAAGAGTAGACTTTTGTATTCAAAACGGCTCAGTGATCAATAAATTAAACCGTATTGGTTCTCAAACCCACCCCAGTTGTTTTAATGTAGGCTTCAGTATTGAAAACGAAACAGAGAGTAGGATGCAGTTGTTTGTTTACACCATATTGATTCTCCACCAAACCTCAAATGATATATTATTAGAGTAGGCTGTAGTATTGGCAACGGTTTGGTTCCCAATTATTGGATCTGTGCTCAGTATTGGATCTGCACCACCATGGGAGCCAGCAGGATTTGGAACAGGCGGGCGAAATATATAACGAACATCTGTGGGGAGGGGGGATTTCTGAAATGATAGTCTTTTAAAATGCATTTTTATGCTATATTTGGCAACTCATAGAAGCAACCAAATAAAAATAGTATCATTAAAAAGACATTAGAATCAATAGAAACGACCTTAAGAAACGCACTTATTAAATTTATAATTATTATAAGTGGTTACTTAACATTTTAGGTATTAAATCTATTTCATATTTTTTTACCAGGGGGTGCAAGTGCACCCCTTGCAACCCCCTATGGGCACCCATGACCATAACACAGTTAACGTATCACAGAGTAGGCTTTGTTATTGACAATGTAACCGAGACCAAAGTGATTTACACCTTTTTATTTTGAACCTCGTCTCTATTTTTTCACTATTAAAACCATATGGATAAGAAAACACCTTTGCAAGTTAACACTGTATTAATTCTCAACCACAACTTTGTTTTTGTATTTTAGAGAAAGAGTTAATATTGCTAGTGGGTCAGAGCCCAGATTGATTTAAGCCGTATTGGTTTCATCCTTGTAATGTTTAAGCATCAGTGGATCAAAAAATGTAAACACAACCTACAAACAAACCAGTCATAATAATTTGGTCATAAATCAACATTTAATTGAACATTTTTAGTTGATAAAACACTGCACAAGAACCTGACAATAGAGTTAAAAACCAATAGCATTAAATTCAGTGTTGTCAAACATTTGATATAGGTTTAATTCCGAACCATTTAACTTTGTTTAATCTAACGAACAACTGAAAGTGATATTGATTTAGCAATCAACTTCGACAATCCATCTATTAAAGTAGTGTTAGTGGTTGGAGCTTTTAAATTGACAAGTCAGTTTATATACTCGTTTGTTTACTGGTTTATTTACTAATCCTAAATGTAACCACCGGTTCATTTAAGTATTGATTGTTATGGACTAAGGTTTTGGTTATGGTCATAAGTGGCATATTAATGAATAAGAGATTAATTTTTTACAAGTTAAATATCAATGAACTTAAAAGTTGCTACATATCAATTGCTGTCTAGTAAAAAAAATTCAAACTTTGATTAGAATTATTTTAATTTGCAGTTACTAAAATGAGATTTGATTTTCACATTTTATGTTAGGCTAGAGGATGAATATTGAAAATGATGTAAGCTGTAAAACTAGTCTTATATTTGTTTAGTTTGGAATATTACCTATAAACATTTAAAGTGAATATAGATTAACTAAACTCACATCTAGTTTATCTTTTTCAGTTGTCAGTATCATTTTAAATATAATTAAATTATGTATCTAGAATTGTCAAATGAAGAAATCCATCGACTAACCACAATGTCATTGTTAGGCAATAAATTGTAAATAATTGTTCCCGGAAAAATCTTTCATAAGGCATTACATTTTACTCGCCTGTTTATTTATGATTATTTCGGTGATAAACGACATTTACCCATTTCTGGAATTCGTGTTTCTCTATTCAAATGTTATTTTTTACTCCTTTACTAAGATTCCAGCTTTTTAAATGTTTCACTAATCTTCATGTCACTTATCACTCCACTAATTAAATACAACATCGGACCAAAGCTGCAACATGCCAATAAACCTATTAACCCTTTTCGAACAGCTTGTGAAAAATGTAATAAATAAAAAATGATTAATTTGAAGTAAGTCTTATCTAATGATGCTGTATCTTTATAAGAAGTAATTGAATTGTATACAGATTTCTCAGTTAGCATAAGCTGGTAGTGTGTAGAGATATAAAGTCAATGGTAGTAGTATGCTATAGCAGCTTCGATTTGAAATACCGCCTTCAACGCAATAGCAAACAAAGTTACAACAAAGTTGCAAGGTGAGATTAAGAACGTAGGTAACCATAGTCTAAAACAAACACAATTCTCAAGGTTCCACAAAAAAGTCAAGCCATTGTTGACATCAGTTGACATCATACTGTCTAAGTAGATTTTTCTGATTTCAATTCACCAACTAATTTTATTTCTTCATAATATTGCCAAACGGCTAAATCATTATTCACCAACTAAAAAATGTTTATATGCAACCCCTAATTTTCTACATACACCAGTCAGAATGTTAACACACATACCTATGACTGGAGTTGCTGCTGGCGACGCTGTTGTTACTTCTTGACCGGCGGCTCTTCAGAGAGTCCCCGCGATTGACCACTCCCTTGCCGGTGATGCTGAAGTGTCTCAGGCGGTAGTACTCCTCCTCGACGCCGGTGTTAGGCATGGAGGCGACCCTCGACCGTTGCTGGGGCAGGCACAGGTAGTTGGGGCGGTGACGGGAGGCGCCTGGAGGTTGTATGTTGGAGCGTGACCCGGGCGTCTTGACCGACTGGGACCTACTGTGGTGCGGGCTGCAGTATCTGTAACGAAAAGGGGTTGAAACTTCATGGTTATAGAAATACTAAAAGTGTGTCTTTATCTTTTCAATGAATGTTCTTACGCCGTAACATTTCGACTCTAATTGTGTACATTGATAGTTGGTCAATTAGTCACTTTGTCCCACCTGCATACTTAAACTGATTATGAAGAAGTAAATAGACTAATGAATCTGAATTGTAAATTAAGAAGCGTAGAATATTAGGAACTGTCATTTAGGAACATTACGGAATAGTTTACAAACACCGTAGTAACTTCAAAGTAAAATTACGTGACGGAAACGATGTAAAAATGGATGGCAAATTCCTTGAAACGTAATATATACCAATATATTAGGCCTAATCTATTGAATTAAGAATAAATAGTAATAATCCTACTATTGTTCTAAGATATCTATGTAAGTCGAGGGAAGAGATGTACTAGTCGTTTTAAAATACTAAAAGAACAAGCGGTTTTATAAACCAGAATGTCAACAGTTAATTCACTTAAAAAATAAATATTACTAAATGAAGTATAATAACATGAAATATTGGTTACTGTAACATGTATTAATAGGCCTATCCGTTAACGTTGTATTATTAAAATGGAATATGAAAGGTGATTCGCGTAAAGTAAAAAATTTTACCGTCGAGTGTTCTGTCCCAGTTTGACGTTACATTAATTGCAGAGGACAATAAAAGGAAAAGGGTCGTTTGCTGCCAGCTTGTCAGCGTTTTTATTCAACTTACACTTTTCTTTTATATGCTTCACTGAGCAGTTTTTAGCAGTATCATTTTCATGTTATAATTACTCTCAAAGTTAGATCACACAGTTAAATGTATTTTATGAAAAAGGTTACGTGATAAACTACACTGACGAAATATGGTTGTAAAGCAAGGTATATCTTACTTCAGCCCAGAGTCGTGCATCTGTTGTATCGTGATGTTGTTAGTGACATCCAGTAGTTGTTTGAAGTCGTTGTCCATCCTCTTGCTCGGTCTCCTCTCGGACTCCGAGTGTTCCTGACTGATGCTCTCTGAACCAGAGAACTCCGGAGAGTTTCCGGTGACCGAAGCCTGTTGCACCACGATGGTCGCTGGAGTCCCTCGTATCGTCGGTTCCGGAGTAGGAGTCGGCGTCGCCTTACAGGAGTCGTTAGAAGCATCCTTTTCCGTTTTCAGCTTTTTACTAACAGACGGAGATTTTTCCTTTTCCCTCTCCTTTTCTTTTTCCTCGTGAATGTCCGGAAAGGTAAATATAGTTTCAGTCTTGGGTGGAGGTGATCTTGTTGGTTGGTACACAGATTGTATCGCAGTGGGAGAGTCCGGTATTGGTGGTGAGGCAGTAACCGCTGTAGGGTCTTCTTCACTCTCAATAGTCATCTGTTCGGCAGCAAACCCTGAGGAGTTTCTTCCGTGTTTTCTCCCCCTCGGTTCATCTTCAAAGTTATTCTTCGCGTACCTTTTGGAAAGCATCTTCAGTCTTTTGTTGGCGGACAGGTTGTTTTTGTTCTGAGGCAAGTTGGCTTGGCGCATCTTGATGTTGTACCACTCCACGGCGGGATCTGTGGACTGCAGGATGGGCAAAGAGGTTTCCTCTACGATGGTCTTAGTGTTTTCCACAGGTATCTTGGTGTGCTGAAGCAGTATCATGTTCGTATCATCTTCCTCCTCGACGCCTTGGAAGATGAGTTTGACCTCCTCACATGGCTTGGGCTGCTCCTCGGTGCTGGACGCTGAGAAGAACTCGTCCTCCTTCTCCACAGAGGACCCCGGGGTGTTGCACGGGCCCAGCATGTCCTCCAGCAGGTTGGTAGTGATCCTCATCATGTCCTCTGGTGGATGGTCAAAGCTGTCTTCCGTCTCCCCGCTATCGGTTACGGTTACCATAGTGATCACTGTGTTGGACGAGTCCGTACTTGTGTTGTTGAAGTTGGTCCCGACGGACTCCACGGACACGGACCCACTGCCCATCAGCACGACCTATGAACAATAATTAGGGATTATTACGACATATTGGCGAGTCGTTTGTAAATAGAAAGTGTTCATACAGTAAAGGTTATATTGTAATGTTCTTAAGCTAGTTTCTTTAAAAGCATAAATGCTTAACATGTCATGATACTGAGACACTAGTAATTATACAAATGTATAACAATACGACATAGCTTTATGGACGTTTGAATTCCAATGGCGTTTGGAAATTACAATATGATAGATAATGGGTAAGCTTTTCCCAAAAATATTGCTGCTCATGTTTTTTAATAAAACACTTAGTTGAAGAAATCACACTTTCTTCATGTTGAATTCTCTCAGTGGTATTTCCACATTAAGAGATTTGAAGTATTTCAGACATTCAGACGTATTGATTAACGAGGTACCTTGGGCATTGGCGCGGATGAGTTTGGGCATCCAGGTTTGCGGCGATATCCGCCACCCGCGGATTTGAAGTGTAGACGTCGAAGCGCACTGGAGGCGGTGGAGATGAGATCGGTGGTGGACTCGGCGCTGCCAACCGACAGACATGGGGAGCCAGGGGCTGAGTGTGCTGTGGTGGTGATGGCTTGGCCCGACCGCTGCAGCAGTACGGCTGTCCTCTGTTTAGCTACCCCTCCCAGAGACAGACGCCCTAGCCCCTGCAACAAATGTGGTAAGTAGTTAAGCAAGACAGAAATGAGGAGCCAGGGGCTGAGTGTGCTGTGGTGGTGGTGGCTTGGCCCGACCGCTGCAGCAGTACGGCTGTCCTCTGTTTAGCTACCCCTCCACGAGACAGACGCCCTAGCCTCTGCAACAAATGTGGTAAGTAGTTAAGCAAGACAGAAATGAGGAGCCATGGCTAAGTGTGCGTTCGTGGTGATGGTTTGGCCCGACTGCTGCAGCAGTACGGCTATCCTCTGTAGAGGGAAAGACATTTTTACTAATGGATTTTAAAATGAAACCAGAATTGAAAAAATGTAAACATTAGATGTATCCACCCTAAAGTAAAGTAAATTTCATTATATTTCTTAATTGGTATCGTAATTGGTATTGGCTTTGGTATCGTAATTAGTGCATTCTTACAAGGTTTCATAGTGTTAAAAGAGAAATAAAAATATAGCTCATTATAGTGGATTTGTAGTAAATACTTATTCTTAGTCTTTACAGTAGTTTGTCATCTTTATTAACTAACAGAACCTTGAAAGCTATACAATGAAGTTACTAAGAATCCTTTATTTAGTAAATCGTAATGACGATTTTATATAACTTACACTCACGGAGATCCCTGAGGAATGGTCGGGCGAGTTCTGGCTGTTGCTTGTGCGCTGCCGCAGTCGAGCCAACGCGCTTCTCAAACCCTCCGTGCTGCCCTCTAGCACATCATGTCGTTATCTACAACAAAACACCGGGAACTTTAGATAAAACTAGGTGAAACCCGTCGAAATCGACAGTTACTATCAAGGGTTACGCTAATTCATCTAACTGCGCTATATTGAGTGAAATTAAACATATTTTGAGCATTTAGCAATCTTTAAAGAGTAATAAGTGTAAAAACATTTCCCATACCGTACGTAATCGGAGTTATTGTTAGTATGTTAACTGGTATCTCTTCTTTTGGAAGAACCTTTAGATAGTATTAAAATCTTTTGTACTTAAAAACTTCCGCTATTTCATCAGTGTATTAAAGATTAATCTATGATTTTATTTGAGAAAAAAATATCAGTTTGTTGAGAAGACACGTGCTAACTTCAAAGGAAGGTCCGTCCGTTACAGTGTAAGTTTGATTTTTACTTCGTCACGTCGCGTCAGTTCATACACAGCCACCTCTGTTCATATCGTACTTCTGTGCCAATGAATAGCCCTCTAGCATAGTTTTGAGAAATTGGTTGTGGGGTTACTGTTAAAGCTAATAAGACACTTCTGCACTTTCGAATATTATTCCAATGATTGATAACATGTATGACAATAATCTCATAAGCCTATAATGATCTGTCTAGAATAATATGATAAAATCTATAACCAAAAGAGGTGAAAAAGGAAGACACCAACCCGTACAATAGATATAAGATAGTTCAATAAGAAATAATGTAAGAGTTACTGTGATAAAAGGATTTTCCACTGATTTCGTAATGGAACGTTATATTGCAAAACATGACATGATATAGAAGAAAATAAATTTAAAAATCCGAAAATAATATTACAAATACTTCTTTTGGACAATTCAGTAACTCCCAAAAATGTGTGTTGTTTAAAATACAATTAAAACATTAACAGCTGTTTCATTAAAAAGTATTATCCAAATGGCCAAAATGTAAACAAATCTGTGGAGGGATCTGTAAAGGCTTCTGGGGCAGAGCCCTAAGCGAATTTACTTCGTTTTTCTTTTGATAACTCATCTACAGACCAAGACCTTTCTTTGGACACCCCTATCAAGTTGCTACGCCCAGCCGTTCTCTCAAATTAGTGGAGACAAAGTTTCCAATTAAATATTTAGATTCCCCCATGTTAATCTTATGGGAGAAAACCAAACTTTGATGGAAGATCCTGCCCGAACTAAAAAAGATATCAAATAACGAAAACACTTTGCAAAACTACAGATCAGGGCCATTGTTTTGACATTTTAATCATCAAAATCGGTCAAAAAATGAGGGAGGAGTTCTGTTTACAAAAATCGGTATAGCGTATTATATATATAGATATATAAAATCTAATACAGTTAATACCGTTACAAGCACTAAAAACATGCTATGTACTGTCACGATAGATCACGACACAACCCTTTCAGACTTGGTTAGCCATAGGATTTTTCACGAAATCATTTGTCTGTGAACGTATTGTTTCAGTGGGTGACGTGGGTGACGAATAAAATTGAGCTTTTCTAGGTCTTGGCTCTCTTCAGCCTTAAGAAGAGACTATACAAGGAGCTTCGTGTGTTACGGAACAGAAGATATCTATTCCGGTTTAGCAGCTTGTTGCATTGGCTCTTGAGGGGTTGGTTATGGTTAGCAAACAAACTTTAATCAGATGGTCTGGTTAATTAGGGTTTATTTTGGTTGTTGGCGTGGTTGGTATGGTTTTTGTGGGATGTATTAGTTTGGTAGGTATGGGAGGTGGTGTATAGTGGCCAGTAGGGCTTTGGTAATAAGAGAAGTAGGAGGTAAAGAACGGTTCAAGCTTTAAAGAGGTTTGGGTTTTAACAAGGTGTTTGAGGTTTATAAAGTGACCGAGTGGCGGAATATAATGGATAGTGAAGACTTCTTGATTCTTAGCCTTCTAGGTAGGGGAACTGGCCATAAAACACACCTTTCGGAGGTTTCTAAGCTACCACTTTGCTCACTAGTTGCACAATGTACTATGTAGGGGTCGGGGGACAACAAGAGGAGTGGATGTACGTAAGTTCACATGGGACGGATAATTTATTGGAAAACAGTTTTGGTGGATAAGAACAACAGTTACTGGCATATACTGGTTAATTAATATGTTAGGTACAAAAACAGGCACATTAACAGAAGCAGTAAAGAATAATAGTTTAGACTTGAATGTTACTTCAATTATGATAGGAGTGTTCTAACGTTGGCGTAGGACTTTTCACTGTTAAGGCTAACGTTTTTGATGTGGGGTCTAACTAGGAAGGTGAACTGGCGGGAATCAAAATTAACGAAACAGAGATGGGTGTTGTACGCGTTGATTTGGAAAGCACACTTAGGCAGTAGGAAATACAGTTTTAAAGTTGGCAATGACCTGGCAGATCAGACAATGTCGTGGTGTTTATTCAGAGGGCAGTTTCGTCTAGGAATGAGCAATATCACAAAAGTTCTCGTTAGGAACAAGAGACGGAAAGTTAAGGAAGAACACAATGTACATGATAAAAATTAAACTAATGCAATTTCAGGAATATATCAAACAAAGTCCCAACTATGTAACAATTATAGTGATATTGTTCTACAACCGATTTATTTTAGGTTAACGCATTTCTAAATCACTAAATAGGCAGTTTACTGTTGTGTTCGTAACTAAAGTGAAGAAATACTTAGGTGAAATCGATAAAGGGATGAAAATAAACCTACCTATTTGCGATAAAAGGTTGGTTTCAGCTCAATGGTCGGACAGATATAGACTTTCCAATTATTGATAACAAATAATAGCTGTCCACCTTCCGAAAATAGAACGTGATCGATAGTAAAAGCACGCGGTGTTTACCTCGAATAGGAAATGGCGGGAACACTTACAGCTGACGACAAGATGATACATGCTTGTCTGTGTTTCCTCATAAAAGGAAATTGTTTAAATAAAGTGGACAGTAATATTAACGTTGGCAATACTGCTTTGATAAAACATAATTTTAAAATAAATAAAAAGGGCAATTTGATTTCTTAGTATTACATTATAAGAAATATAAATTTTACTAGGGGCTTGTAGGGGCAAAAGCCCCTAAAAAACCAAAATACATAAATTTTTTATCAACCTTCATTGGTCATTTATAAATAAGCACTGATTTTCTAGCATTATAATATAGTTTACAACACAAAATGTATACAATATATTATATACAGTAGATACATTTACATTTAAATGGTGGTTTGTAGGGACAATAGCCTCTAAAACAGTAAAAATTTTTATTTTGAAAATAATAAGCATAAAAAACAATTAAAATTTGGTTTAATTCAAGTTTTATTTACATGAATGGAAATCACTACTTACTTATTGCATTTGATAATTAGTCAGAACCTCTGGATAAACTATGTTTTTTGTATATGAATTGTTTTCTGTATTGTTCTGTTCTCTTGTAAAAAGTACAGCTGGTATCGATATCAAAGGCTATGAGTACACAGATTTTCAGAAATACAACTAATACACAGCTGTTTTAATTTCAAAAGATGTAAACAAATTAAACCCCATGTTGTTTTAATGGGAAAAGTTTTATTCTGTTGCGAATTTATGGTAAAAAAAATAAGAAAAATGAATAGTTTTCCCTCAAAATTCACGTCAAGACCTTTAAAATAAGACCCCTCCCATCCTTCTACGGCCATCCAGTCACTCACAATTTCTTTACAAAAATTTGACTTACGGAATTATATATATAGATGTCCATTATTCAAATTGAGTGAAGAATGTACGATTGAATTATGTAAGGGAAAAGTACAAACCCTGATTTTTAAAAGCTAGGTATGCCTTTTGTTAGATAGAACCATAACGATCTTAATTGGAAACGAACCCAAAACCTTTAAATGTGAAAGCGAGTACTGTCCACTCGGCAATCCAGGTAGCCATAGGGTGTTAGTTTTTTTTTTGTCCTAGGACGCTAGGCACGAGCCTGGGATTGTTTTTCACATTACTTCAGGCTAGACCTAGGGGTTGCGGCATTATCACTTAGATAAAATCCAGTGGTGATTTGGCGGGAATCGAACCTGGGTGTTAGTAGTAGTGTTAGGGTGTTAGTAAGATATAGAGCCAATAAAACACTTTGTATATCTTAGTTAATTAGAGTATTTATCTTATTCTTTGAGTAGTAAATAAATTAGGGGCATAATATAAATACAATACAAAGAACGTTCTTTGAAACATACTCATAGTTTCGACCGTTTTATTGTTAAATATTACCAGTTAGGATTATTGTTGAGCTAACTAACTACAGTATTACACTATTATAACATAAAAAATAAATTTTTTTATGTATTGCGAGGTGTTTGTGAAAAAGAGGTTAGTACAAGGAAGCTAATAACGTAGTTTCAAAGACCAAACACTTGGAGGCGTATTTGATGAATTAATATAATACAGGTGAAGTATGCTTCAGAGGTATTTGTACCGTGATGTTGGTACTGCAGTAGCATTAGTTGGCACCACTGGAGCGGCACAATCAGCTGTGCGCACCACTGGTTACAATCAATGCTCTGTAATTATTAATACACACGACCTCTGTATCATTTTTCATAATATTTTTATCCATACTTATTTATTTAGGTGTTTCAACCTGGAAAATCGCAATGGAATAACAGTTGATAATTTGTAAAATGATTGTGGTGAACTTATTAACACCTTTAATCAGTTTGTAAAAGTGAAAGCTTTGACAAATAGGTGAGGGATATTTAATACATGTTGTATTTCAGTGTTTAATTTATTGTGAACAAAGTTCATAAAATTAATATTAATCAAAGCAAAAGAGAGTTAAGTAAGTAGAACATTAGCGATATCATTCTAGCTGTATAGAAAGTAATTAAAACCCCTTTATTTGATTAACATAAGTTTCCTCATAGTATATAGTATCCATCCTTATAGTATTTTCCAAGAATAGCTAGCTGTATTTAAACCCTACAAAAACTACTTAGGGATCGACAAATTATGGATCAGC